CTTACTTAGAGAATTTTAGAGACTCATTAAAATTAATTGAAATGTTATTAAACAGGATAGGAAATAAAATGATGAAATTCTTCAGCTGTTCTATTTGTTACCAACAAAAAACATCAAGAGGAGATAGACAAATTTCATTCAAAATAACTACAGAATATGTTAAATATCTGGGAAACTACCTTCCAAGTCATACACAGGAATTATGCGAATACAAGTTCAAGGAATGCTATATAGAAATAAAGCTTGAATCAAATAACTGTAGAGACATTAATTGCTCATGGTTGGGTTGAGCTGATATAATAAAAATGATACTATCTAAATTAATTTATAGAGCATACCTTGCCAACCAAACTGCCAAAGGGTTACTGTGTAGGACTAGCAAAAGTAGTAACAAAAAATAAACTGAGAAACAAGAAGTCAAGAATGTCAAGGGAAATAATTAAAAAAGACAGAACTAGAAGTAGCAGACCTCAAACTGTACTACAAAGTAGTAATCATAAAAAAAAAATTTGATACTGGTTAAAAATAAAGTTGATCATTGATGCAGATTATGTATACAAGGCTAGAAGCAATAAAATTTAATTATGAAGTGTTCAACAAATTCAGGAATTCCAACTACTAAAATAAGGACTCACTATTAAAACAGGAAAATATTCTGGCCAAAAATCAGATTCAACTAGCATCTCGCACCATAGGGCACCATATGCTCCAAATATATATTTGACCTAGGTATAAAAGGTCATTGGAAAATCTTTCCATAAAAAACAAAAAAGATGAAAGAAGAATTTTTAATGAAACATTTCACAAGTGAAATGGACCACTTTGATTTAATAAAATTATAAAGATTTGATACAAACAAAATCATTGTAGTTTGAATTAGAAAAGAAACAGTGAATTGGTAAACACCATTGTGGTAATTTTCTCTGATTAAAGACTGATATCAAACACATGTAGGGAATTTTGTTTCAAGTATCTAAGAATAAAAGCTTTTTCCCAATAGGTAAATGGACAAAGGATACAAACAGGCAGTTCTCAAAAGAAAGATGAAGTATCCACAATGATATGTAAAATGTTCCAAATCAGTAACATAAGAGAAACACACATTAAAACAACTTTCAGGTTCTACTTTACATTGCAACAATATGTAAGGTGTAAGGTATGTAAGGGTAAGGTTTGGCAAGGAGTGGGGAACCTGGGGCCTCAAGGCCACATGTGGCCCTCCTAGGTCCTTGGGTGCAGCCTTTTGACTGGGTCCAAGTTTTACAGAACAAATCCTTTTATTAATGGGATTTGTCCTGTGAAGCTCAGATTCAGTCAAAGAGCTACACTTGAACTAGAGGGTCACCTGTAGCCTCAACATCACAGGTTGCCCACCCCTGGTATAATTAGAAAATACAGTTGCTGGAGAAGTTTGTACGAAGACAGCATTCTAATGTATTCTTAGTAGAACTGTGAATTGAGTCGATAATTCTGTAAAATAAGGGAGTTGGACTAAATAAACTGAAATGTCCCATTTAGCTGTAAATCTGTGATCTCTCTACCTACTTGTCTGAAGCCTGTGTCTGGACTATTTCTACCAATTTCCTTACTGGTTTCCTGCCTCCAGTCTCCTCTCCAATCCATTCTTCGTACAGCTGATAAAATAATTCTAATGTACAGGTATGACCATGTTACTCCCTTTCTTAAAAACCATCATTGTGGTCCCAATCTACCATTCCATCCTTGTTTCACATTCCTTCCTTCCACACGCTCTATAGTTCAGCTATCCGCTTTCTAGGTCTGGTCTTGCACCATTTGCTTGCCTCTGGACATTCAGGAAATCAGGCCTTTTGCCTGTAGCTCAGTCCTCCTTTACCTTTGCTTGCTAAAATACTTCATAGCCTAGCTCAGCAGTTATCAAATTCATGAAGGCCTCCCTCATTCTTTGATTTATTTTTTCCTATTATACCATGCTAACCCTGGGTTCTCTGTCATAAAATTTCTTCAAATGGAGTCTGGTCAGGGACAAAGGGCATTCCTGTTCATGCATGCATTGGACCAGATAGGCGGTACAATGGATACAGCATTGAGCCTTGAGTCAGGAAGATTTGAGTTCAAATGGGGCCTCAGAGACTATCTGTGTGACCTTGTGCAAGTCACTTAACCTCCGATGCCTCAGTTTCCTCATCTGTAAATTGGGGCCAATGATAGCAGTTATCTTGTAGGGTTCTTGTGAGGATCAAATGAGATAATAATTGGAAGTCTCAGCATGGTGCCTGGCACATAGTAAGTACTATATTAATGTTAATTATTATTATTATCACTATTAGTAGTGTTTCTTCCAATTCTAAGAGTAATTCTATAAAGTTTTTGTTGTTTCAAGTCAGTAAAAATAGCAGTTCTTTTCCCACATCCCTGGAATTCCTTCCTCCTCTCCCTTTTCACCTCTCCCACCTGAGTGCACACCATCACTATTACTTATCTGGATAATTGCAGATACCTTCTTCCAGAGATTCCTATCTCTTATCTCTTTATCTCAACCTTCCAATCCATCCTGTATATAGCTACCACAATAATCTTTCATAGACACAAAACTGGTCATGTCATTTCTTGGTGCAGACATCTTTACACTAACAACACTCTTTGCACACCAAGTAAAGTCTGAATTTCTCATCCTGGCATTCAAGGCCTTCCACCATATGCCATCATCTAGCCTTTAAAACAAGCACTTCACTTTCCTTCTGAAATGACTATGCTCAAACAATTTCTTGTGTTTAGAATTGGAATACCTTCTCTCTCAGGACCCTTTTATGTTGTCAATTTTTGTCCATCATTAAAGTCCTATTCACCTTCTTTTATAGGATACTGTCATGATTGACATTCCCCCTTCCCCACCCCCCTCCCCCAGTATTGATCATCCCCTTTAAACATCACAGAAAATTTTTTAACTCTATAATTATTTTAACCAATACTGTCCATTTTCTGTCTGTAAGAATCTTGTCCTCCTGTTTTCCTGTAAGCTATTTGAGGTGGGGTGGTAGAGTAGACAGTGCCAGACCTGGAGTTTGGAAGCTCTGAGTTCAAATCTTGCCTCTGATATTTATCATCTCTGTGACCCCTGGCAAGTCATTTAACTTCTTAGAGTCTCAGTTTCCCATCTGTGAAATGGTGATAACTCCTGTAGTACCTACCTCTCAGGGTTGTTGAGAGGATTAAATGAGATAATATATGTAAAATGCTGTGAATGTATGTAAATTGCTATGTAAATACCATGCAGTATCACTGAAGACAAAGACTATCTTAACCTAAACTTTTGTACTAAAGCTTCCAGCTCTTAGTTTCCTATCTACAATATAATATGTGATATAATATAATATAATATAATATAATATAATATAATATAATATAATATAATATAATATAATATAATATAATATAATATAATATAATATAATATAATATAATATAATGTAATTTAATGTGACATGACATGATATGATATGATATAATATGATTAATATAATGTAATATAATTTAATGTGACATGACATGTTATAATGATATAATATGATTAACATAATATAATATAACATAATATACTATAATATTCTTGTCTATAATATAACTCTAGTACTTAGCTCACACAGTTGTTGTGAAGGTAAAAAAAATAATGTGTATAAAATTACAGTGTAGGTGTCAGTGATTAGTACTGCATTAACCTTTTATTAATGACTTGGATGAAAGCATAGAAGGTACATTCATCCAATCTGCGGGTGGTACAAAGCTAGCAGAGGTAGCTAACATAGAAGATGGAAACAATACAAATCCAAAGGTCTTGATGGCCTAGAATTTGTGGGGAACCTGCAGCCTCCAGGCTACATGTAGCCTTCTAGGTCCTTAGGTGTGGCCTTTTGACTGAGCCCAAGTTTTACAGAACAAATCCTTTTACTAAGGGGATTTGTTCTGTAAAACTTGGACTCAGTCAAAAGGCTGCACTAAGGACCTAGAAGGCCACATGTGGCCTTGAGGCTACAGGTTACTCACCCCTGGTTTAGAACATTGGGCTGAATCTAATAATATGAAATTCAATAGGGGACAAATGTAAGCTTTGACTTGTGTAAAAAAAAAGCAACTTCACAAGTATAAGATGGGAAGAGATGTATGACTGGACAACTGTTGTTCTAAAAAAGACCTAAGGGATGTGGGTTAGCCAACAGCAAACTTATCAGGAGTCAGCAGTGGGATGTGGCTGCTGCCAAAGTTGGTGCCATCTTGAGTTGTATTCACTGAGAGCAGCAGAACTTCCAGGAATAGGAAGGTGATAGTCCCATCTGTGCCCTGCCCTCATCAGACCATAGTTGTGGTTTTGGGTTCAGTTCTGGGTGTCTCAGTTTAAAAAGGACATTAATAAACTGGAGAGTCCAGAGAAGAGCAACCAGGATGGTGAAGGGATTTGAGACCATGTTACACAATGACTGATGGAAAGAATTAGGTGTGAAGAGCTATTTTCATGTATTTGAAAGGTTGTCATGTGGAGGAGATATTGGGCTTACTGTGTTCATATCCAAAGGGCAGAACCAGGAAGAATGGTTGAAAGATGCAAAGGTCAATTTAGGTTTGATGGCAGAAAAAAAAAACAGAACAAAACAAAACTCCCTACAAATTAGAACTCTCCCAAAGTGGAATGGCTTGCCTTGAGAGGTAGTGAGTTTCCTGTTCTTGGATGTCTTCAGTCACAGACTGGATGACAACTTGTCAGCTATCTTATAATGGGGATTCCTTTTGTGTATGGGTTGAACCAGATGGTCCCTTCCGACTTTCAAATTCTGTAAATCTATAAAAGCATAGACAATCTTATCTACACTTTTTATATCCCCCAGCTACTATTCTGCTCACAGTAGGTGTTTAGTAAACATTAATTCTATTACTAGTGTTGTGGTTTTATATGGTGTTGTGTTGTATTATAATTCTATTTCAGAGAAAATTTATTCCAGGCCTCTCTTATTTTTTTATCCATTCAGATGTTGCAAGAGCAATTGAGTTATTGGAGAAACTACAAGAATCTGGAGAGATACCCGTTCAAAAGCTACAGTCCCTCAAAAAAGTTCTGCAGAGTGAGTTTTGTACAGCTATTCGTGAGGTATGGCACCCCGCTTTTAGTCATTGTGTTCAGCTGCATGTCCTACAAGTACACTTGTTTTCTGCATCTAATCTGTAAACAGGGAAACAGACTGGAGTTAAATCTTTGTCGTTTCCTTTTTTAGCTTCTTGGACAAGATGATAAAACACAATCTATTCTGTGAAATTCTTAAGTTAAACCCCAATGGGATTAGTACATTCTTACAAAAACAAATGCTACATATGGGGAGCTGGGGAGAGATCGCATCCTAGGGAGATGGGGACATGTGATCATGTTGTGTAATGGTCATATGAAGCTCTCTGGAGACTGAGGCTGCTTTTTCAGTGAACAGAGACCGGATTTGCTTTAACCTACTTTCAGAATTCAGACAGATTCATGACTTGCCAGTGAATTAACAATTATCTAAATCTTGCCCTCTTTCCTCTTCAGCATCTTGAGCTCTGTTGAAGCTTTCATTTTGTAGTGGTAATGTTAAAAATTTCTCTGGTGCCCCAGAGAGGAGGGTGGTGCTTACAAAGATAAATGGCACATTCCCTCACTTCATTCAAAAAACATTATAATCTTGTAGTCATGAGATAATAATATTAATAATTATAGCTAGCATTTCTATAATACTTTAGGTACTTCTTTTGTAAATTTTGTAAAATTTTATCTCATGTGGTCCCTGCAACTACTCTGTGAGCTATTATTTTCCCTATGTTTACAGAAAAAGAAACTGAGGCAGACAAAAGTTAATTGACTTTCTCAGGGTCATGAAGCTAGTAAGCTATGCTCTCAACAGCCGTATTAGGTAGGTGCTATTATTTCTCCCTATTTTGCATAGGAAATTGAGGCAGACATAAGTTAGGTGACTTGTCACACAGTGTCTGAGGCCAGATTCAAAATCAGGTTTTCCTGATGCCAGGTGTGGTCTTTATTCACTATACCACCTAGCTGAGTGGGATAAGTTCAAGTGTCCAGATCTAGGCATGTGATCTCCTATGGTGCTCCAAGAGCTCAGAGTTGATAGCAAAGACTCCACAGGCATTTTCTGAGAACAGTCAGTAGAAGTACCAAAATATTAGAAAAAGAAAAGAAAAAAAAAGCTATTGTCTTTATTTTGAAAAGGCATAACTTAGGGGTGTGACAGAAACCACAGACTAGCATACTCGATTGCTAACAAATTTCTAGCAAAGATAATTAAGGCCAGTTATTTTGGAGCACTGAGAAGAGAATGCGGCAATCACACGGAGGCTAATATGGTAATCAAGAACATCATTTATTTACACTATAGAATCGCAGAAGTTAGAACCAGAAGAGGCATTTGAGGTCATCTAGATCAGGGGTTCTTAACTTTTTTATTGCCTCGTACCCTTTTGTCAACATCACAAAGCCTATAGTCCCTTTCTCAGAATAAGGTTTTAAATTACATGTGTGTGTGTGCGTGTGTGCGTGTGTGTGTCTGTGTACATATATGTGTGTGTATATATATGTTAGGTCCTATGCTAAGAACTTTGCAAGTATTATCTCATTTGATCTTCATCACAAGGACCCTGGGAGGTAGGTGTTATTATCATCCCCATTTTACAGATGATAAAACTGAGGCAAAAAGAAGTTAAGTGATTTGTCCAGGGTAACAGTCAGTATGTATATGAGGCCACATTTGAACTCGGGTCTTCCTGACTGCCAGCCTGCCGTTTTACCCATTGCACCATAAAAGACATGGGATTACAAAGGAAATGAATTACAAAGTTACATTAAGATATTTTAAAAAATAAGTATATAGACCCCAAGTCAAGAACTTCAATCTAGTTCAACACACTCAGTTAACAGATGAGGAATCCAAGGTGCTTAAAGATTAAATTACTTGCCCGAGACCATACAAGAACAAACTTCATTTCCTTTTTTTATAAGCTAACTAGATTAATAGAACGGGAATGTCACTGACACGATGTAAATTGATTTTAGCAAAACATCTGAGATACTCTTTCATGATGTCTCCAAAAATAAACTGGAGAGATGGGACTTGATGGTGTTGATAAGCAGATACAAAGCTGGTTCAAAAAGATCATTAAGGGACTGATGTTAACCATCAAAGAGGTCTCTAGTAGTGTGTCACTGGACTTTCTACCTGACCTGGTACTCTTCAACAGGCATCAGTGATTTGGATAAACACATAAAAGGCCACCTTACTATATTTTCGTATGATTCAAACCAGGAAGGGATAACTAATAAGGTAGATGAAAGACTTAAAGTGATAAGTGAATCCAGGAAGTTAAAATGCTAGACCCAAACCATCAATATATAATTTAATAGAAATAAATATGAAGTCCTACATTTAGATTAAAAAAACATTAATTTCGCTAAATACATGATGGTAAATATATAGCCATGGCCAGACAGGAGTTCACATTAAATATATTTGGAGGTTCCAATTAAACTCAATTCCCGTTTACGCCAGTGATGCAATGATATCACTACATAGGAATATCCAGATTGAGGAAATTAGTAGTCTGTGCTTTGTATCGGTCAGACAGGTTTTTTTTTTCAATCTCATGTACCCTGTTGCAAATAGGACACTGAGAAACAAGTATACTGAGGATGGTGGAGGAAAAGGGAAAACTATTGGGGGAAAAAATGTCATTTGGAGGGCAGTCATGCCGAGTAAAAATGATTCCAAAGGAGAAAGATCAGATTCATTAGTAAAAGTCAGACGGGCTCACCATAGAAAATAATTTTCTAATGCTTAGTGCTGTCCTATAATTGAATCGCTCATTTGTGAAGGAGTGAGTTCCCTGTAATTGGTACTTTTCAAGCAAAGGCTGGGTAACTATCTCAGGAATTTCTGCATGACTGATCGGTGGATCTAAGCGACCCATTAAGTTCCCTTTGACTGAAGAGTCAATGATTCTACTACCAAGAAGTAACTCAGTAACTAGATTCCTTTCCATGCTTGAGGTAGAAGATCATGGATGTCCTTGTATGCATAGCTGTACACATAAATTATATGAAGATTTTACAATTGATAAAAGTTGGTCAAGAGAATTAGCGAGAATTTGTTTCTCATATAGCCTTATGAGGTGCATTCTTTCTCCAATGCCTAGTAGAGTGCCTGATGCTTGCTACCTGTATGACCTTGGGAAAGTTCCAACCTCTTTAAGCCTCAGTTTCCTCAGCTGTAAAATGAGGCACTTTGACAAGATAATTTCTGGGGTCCCCGCATCTAAAGTTCTATGAGGCTAAGAAGAATTGTTGTTATTGTTCAGTCATTTCAGTTGTGTCTGACTCTTCATGACCCCATTTGGGGTTTTCTTGGCAAAGATACTAGAGTGGTTTGCCATTCCCCTCTCCAGCTCATTTACAGATGAGGAAACTGAGGCAAACAGGGTTAAGTAACTTGCCTAGGGTCATACATGTAGTAAGTATCTGAGGCCAGATTTGAACTCAGGAAGATGAGTATTCCTAACTCCAGGCCTGGCACTGTATGCACTGCACCACCTAGTTGCCCCCTAGAACATAGGAGATGCTTAATAAGTACTTAATTGATTTCTTTTAAAAAAAAAAGTGCTTTTTTATTAAGGTAAATTATTGGGTGACTTCATGAGTCCTTGGTTCTACTTACTTAGTTTCTCCCCAGTAAAAGAACATTTTAAATAACATGCACAAAATGTCCGTTCTATCAATGGTGTCACTTTTAGTTAACTGGAACGGGATCTCAAAGGCCTGAGACTATAATTGCACTAATGGGTCATTGATCTTCAAAAGATATCTAAACGGACCTTCCCAAATAGCCTGCACAGAACAGTTATGTAAATACTTTACCCCTGCCCTGTTTCTGTGTGCAATTACAGATGATAAAATAAATAGTACACATTTTCAGAAGCTCATAATTACATGTACTCACGCAGTAGTTCTGAATAATAGACTCTTCACAGAAGTTGTGTTCTGCATCAGTCTGATGAAGTGAGCATTTTTCCTTCTACTGAGATCATAGGCCTGGAAGCCACAAGTCCTATTTTTGGCATAATGATTGACAGTTGTGCTTTTTTTCCTCCAGCTAAAAGTCTTTTAACCTTTTTTCTTGCTTGAGATTGGCCCAACAAGCTATAAATAGGTATTTTAAAGTCCTAATTACTTTTTAAAATCATATTGCCTTCCATCTAGATTTTGGTGGAAGAAGAGAAAGGATGTTAACACTCTCTTTACTATTCATAACTATGTAAGGCAGCAGACTTTTGTAATGTGTAAGGAAGAAGGGTTTAAAAATTCATTAATTATAGTTCTCTTTCCACATTTGCTATCGAGGTTAATTTTTCTTTGTTTGAAGTAAGGTCTTCTGCCATCAACGAAACCATTAATTTTCATGAGTAAATTAAAGTGCATGTGAATTTCCCAAGGGTAACATTTCACACATTAGTCTAGCCCTAGACAACATTTTCCTACGTGAAATTTGTTGTAAAAACATAATAAATTAATAAAATTTTATAAAATTGTCCTTGAAAACAAAATTGTAATCAGAACTATAGTAAATATTATACACACCATGTAGTGTCTACATGTACATGTACATGTATATTTATATGTATATTATGTGACTTCATTGGTAGTGGGGATTAAAAGTGAGGAGATTCCTCCTAACAATATAGAGCTGCAACTGTTCTGCAAATGCAGTCTTAGAAAATTGCAAACTTGTTGAGGGTCACAGAGCCACAGAGCCTAGCAGGAAGACTCGAATTCAGATCTTCCCAATTCAGAGGCTAGTTCTCTTCCCACTATTTCACATGATAATATTATGATTAGGGAGCTCATTGGTGTAGTGGATGGAGTGCTGGGCCTGGAGTCAGGAGGACTTGAGTTCAAATCCAGCCTAGGACACTGACTAGCTGTGTGACCTTGGGCAAGTTACTTAACCATAGTGTGCCTCAGTTTCCTTATCAATCAAAAATGTGAATAATAATAGCACCTAACTTCCAGGATTATTGTGAAGATTAAAAGAGACAATGATTGTAAAGTGCTTAACA